GATGGTGTGGCTATGGGGAAGGTCTGGCTTCTCACTCAGAACCACTTCAGCTGGACTCACCAAGCGTGGGGGAGGTTGGGGATGATGACCACTAGGGAGGCAGGCTCGCGCGCTCTCTCTCTCTCTCTGTCTCTCTCTCTCTCTGTCTCTCTCTCTTTCTCTTTCTCTTTCTCATTTGAGCTAAACTGTCGACATATGCCAGCAGGGAGGCTCTCTTGAGGGGTCCTGATCTCTTAGCTGGAGTGTGTAGGAGGTTTACTCACTGACGGCAGGAGTGAGAGAGGAAGCCGAAGGAAGCAAGCACCTGGGTGAGGGAGGAAAGAAGGATGCACAGAACAAAGGATGCACAGATGAACCAAAAAACCTTACTTCCCTTTGAAGCTGGGAAGTGCATGTTCTCTTGGAAACTAAGGAGGGGAAATATAAACCCTGGACTATTAATACTGAAGCCATTAGCTTTCTCCACTAGATGACCTTCAGACATAGAAGAGTTATACTCTTTGGTTAAGCACTTGGGAAAGCTTCACACTGTTTTTAAGGCTCCTTTTATGTTAGTTGGATCTTACATTGCAGGTTGATCAGCGCCAAGCCAAGGATAATGTAAAAGATCTCTTCCGCAAGCATCATCCAGTATTCACAGGAGATCTTTTCTCTGGTCATGTGTTTTCCAGATAAGTCTCTCTAGGAAAACCTAGAATTTCATTATGCAGCCTCCCTCCCTCCTTCCCTCCTTCCCTCCTTCCCTCTTTCCTTCCCTTCTTCCCTCCTTTCCTCCCTCCCTCCCTCCTTCCCTCCCTCCCTCCTTCCCTCCCTCCTTCCCTCCCTATCTCTCTCTCTCCCCATCTGTATTAAGTGCCAACCAGCCACCAAGCATGAATCTTAGTTTCCACTGAGTGTTTGCATTCTGCACACGAAGAGCTCTTTATTGCCTAGATAGGCAGTTCCTAAATGAGGCCACGTGTTTTTGGGTTAAAAACCTTCTTCTTCCTGACTCTAGAAAGGAGTGAGGAGGAATATTGAATGCTCCTTCTCACTCTAAATTACAATATCAGGTTTCTTTAAAGGATGTTGTTGATTTTTTCATCCTTTGAAGAGGGTACATGTTTAAAGGAAATAGAACTGCATGGAAAGTTAGGAGTCTTGGCATCAGGTTGTGGCTCTGCCCCAAACTAGCTGAGGAAGCTTAGGTTTCACTTTCTGCATCTATAATAATAATGGAATTGGAAAAGTTGACATCAAATGTTCCACCTCATCCTATATTATATAACTATATTAAATACAGTATATGTTACATACCTCCTTATATTACCTACATTGAATTGTGGTGACATAGCGAATGGTAGACTATGTATAATGGAAGACTATAAAAATGTATATTCCAGTGGAATTCAGAATTAATCACGGACAGCTTAAAACTATTAGGAAACTTCCAGAGGGTGAGTAGTCTGGGTTCATCTTTCATTTAGAGGAGTGTAGAGTAACATCTCTTCTATGCCCTTGAATTCAGATTTCCTTTTCAAATTATATGTATTTACATTAAATTGTATTTAGCACCATTTATACATTTATTGTTATCTCAAACATTTACTACTCTTGGTTAGAAAATATTTTCAGCTTATACACAGTGAATTTCTCATTTCTGTTGCTGATTGTAATAGTGATTCATATATAAATTAGAATTATTTCCAGTTCTTACAGTAATATAAGTGTTAGTAACAATGGAATTTATTGTCCCAAAATACTGTTGCAGGAGGCTTTTTCTAAAGGGGAGAAATCCTATATAATAAAAAGACTAATATGCAACTAGATCGAACAATGGAAAGACTGGTTGCTATGATGCACACTGACCACTAGAGGGAAGATGCTCAACGCGGGAGCTTCCCCCTGGTGGTCAGCGTGCTCCCACAGTGAGAGCACCGCTCAGCCAGAAGCTGGGCTCACAGCTGGCGAGCACAGCGGCAGTGGCGGGAGCCTCTTTGGTCTCAGCAGCAGTTGGACATCCGGACATCCCTCGAGGGCTCTTGGACTATGAGAGGGTGTAGGCCAAGCTGAAGGACTCCCCCTCCCCAGTGCATGAATTTAGTATAAATGTCTTCTTATGGCTGTGGAAAATATATGTTGAATATCCTCTTATCTCCTTGCCACCAAGTAATGGTCTCTGTAGAAAGAGAAAGGAATAGTGCTACAGGTATTCAGTTTTTGTTGGTTTGAAATAATAATGCTACACACACCGAATATAATGTAAGACACAGTGGGGGAACTTGATAGCTTTTTATTGAATAAGGGAATAAGGTAATGGATAGATGGATACTAAAATTTCTTCATATTCATTTGAAGTCCACTATGAAAATAGGTAAGATCTTTAAGAACAAAACAGAATTTTTAATTATTTTATTATACTAAACACCTTAAGTTTTATAAGGACTTTGCTATAACATTATCTCTATGCAGATAATATAGGTAATTTTAAGAATTTATTATTAGACTAGGCTCCTTTTCAATTTTAGGCCATTTACTTATTGGAGTAATAAAACTTGTATACAAATATGTTGTTTCTTCTGAGACATGAATCCTAAGGTGGTATTATCAGAAGGTTCCACAATCTATATAAAATACCATCTTTTCAAAAAGTTTTTTTCATGGCTCTCATCAGCAGAAATATTTTTACTTCACAAGTACATACACTGAGGCAAAACTTAAGTGACATTTATATTTTGACTATAGGATGTGAAGTGAGATATACTCATGTAAGAATGTTATCAATATTAATAAAAGAATAGTATATAATATTAATTAGATCAGACATCCTTCCTGACAAAGCCAGGCCGGGGCAAAGCTGCCTGCCCACGGTCCCAAGCACCAGCACCTGTGGCTGCAGCCTAGGAGATGGAGAAAAGCCACCCACCCTGTGGTCCCAGGCTGGTCCTGGTTGCATGGGGCCTGCCAGGGGGAGGGAAGCCTGGGTCCCAGATGCAGGGCTGAGGCAGAGGCAATTGGGCAATCTGGCAGGCAGGCAGAGTGGTTAGGGGTGATTAGGCAGGCAGAGGTGGTTAGGGGCTATTAGGAAGGTAGGCAGAGGGGTTAGGTGTGATGAGGCAGGCAGGCAGGCTAGTGGTTAGGGGCCAGCAATCCAAGATTGCTAGAGGCATGTCAACTGCTGGTTTAGGCCAGATCCCTGTGTTCATCCCCTGAGGGATCACAGATTGGAGAGGTACAAGCCGGGCTGAGAGACTCCCCTCCCATGCATGAATTTTGTTCACTGGGCCTCTAGTTCATTAAATAAAAAGCATGATTATACATTTAAATAACAACACAATTTTAAATAGAGGCCACATATGTACATGTGTATATATAGGTGTAGCTTTAAGAATAGTTAAGTTGATTCTCATGTATCCATCACCAATATTATATACCTGAACCTAATATAATATTGTATGTCAACTGTAACTGAAAAATAAAATTTAAAAACACACATGATCAATACCCAGGAAGCTCCCCTGGGTCTTGCTCTGATTACATTCCCTGCTGATCCAGCTCCCTCATCCCATAACTCCTCTCTTGAATCTTGTTTTTTGTCCTTCCCTTGCTTAAACAATTGGTTAGCTTAGTGTGATAGTGTGATATTGAGCTTTACATAAATGAAATCATACTGTATATATATTCTGCTGATTTTTTCTTTCAATATATATATATATATATATTATTTTTTAATCCAATATTAAAACAAGTTTTGACTTGTCTGATGGCTACTGTTGTTGAATCCAGAGTTCAGCCTCACCCTGATAACCTTGTAATCATAGCTCAGATGATACAGCTCTCTCATAATCCCTTTCTTCTACTAGAATCATGTGTTTAGTTTATGGCCGTAACCTTAGCTCTATAGCAGTGCCTTCATCATGGGAGGCACTAATAGTTATTTATTAAATGAATGAATTTGAAGTCCCTAAGCAGAATTTGTTCGAACTGACATATTTTTGGATGAGTTGGGATTGCAAGAGTGGGATTTGTCATTGTAATTATAAGGAGTGCCCTATATTTGCTTGTGTTTCACTGAAGTTCCCGGGGTAGGGCAGGGAATGAGGGCAGGGACCCAGTGCATGCTTGGGTCATGCATTACATTCAACAAATTCTATGATGAGAATCTGGAATATATGAGTTTCTGTTGAGTTGAACAATTTTCTGTAGAGCTGACCAATTATAGTACATACTGAAAACGCACAGTTGGTGGTGTTGATGATGATGGTGGTGGTGATGATGATGACCATAAGATTGTTGCCAGGGTTTCTTTTAAGGTACTGTGGCTTCCCCATCCTTAAGCTTTGAATTATTTTTAACAAGTCCCACAGGGCCCTGTATGACCCAGTCCACTTTCTATGTTCCCAGCTTCATGCAATGAAATAGCACCTTTGCATATGTTGTACATTGTTCTTTCTGGTACTCTCTGAGCCCTTGTGATAATCTCCTGCAAATCCAGATTTTCATTTCAAGTGACCTCTTTTTAAATATATATAATTGATTTTAGAGAGGGAGAGATAGAATGATGAGAGATCAGTGACATCATTGATGAGGGAAAATCATTGATTTGCTGCCTCCTGCACAACCCCCACTGGGGATCGAGCCTGCAACCTGGGCATGTGCCCTGACCAGGAATTGAGGAGCAACCTCCTGGTTCATAGGTCAACGCTCAAACACTGAGCCACAACCAGTGGGCTCAAGTGACTTCTTCAGAGAAGATGTTGCAACGCCCCCACCCTGTACCTCTCCCTCACGGCCCCTTATTGTAACTGGGTGATTGTGTAGCTGGTGGTTTCATCTGTGTTTCTTCTCTTGGCAAATGAGCTTTGTTACGCAGATGTCTGGCTTGTTTACCTCTGCCCAGGGACTTTCCGGAGAGTGTTGCCAACAGTATGTGCTCAATAAATATTTGCTTCTGAAGCAATGAATGTTGAATTATTCAAAGTTCTGTTAAATTTTTTTTGTTTGTTTTCTTCTCTCTTTAGCTGGGAGGTTATCAATTCCAAACCAGATGAAAGACCCAGGCTCAGCCACTGTATTGCAGAATCCTGGATGAATTTCAGCATATTTCTTCAAGAAATGTCTCTTTTCAAACAGCAGAGCCCTGGAAAGGCAAGTTTCCCAGGATGAGAGAATGACTGTTTGTGCTTTAAATGGTGCAATAAACTTAGAAACAAATGAGTTAACTTATTTTATCAGCTTGTAAGTGGTCTCCAGTTCAGAAGACAATCTACTAGCAACACATCCCATAAGAGCTGGTATCAGGAAGGTTCAGAATCATTCATGTGTCAGCATTAGACAAACTTCATCATCATAGTTTGAAATTGGATTGGTTTCCTATTTTTATACCTATTTATCTAGTTCCTTAATGAAACGAATGATGATTGGTCTTGCCATCCAGACCAAGAAGAAAAAAATATTAAGAATTTCAGTTTATAGTAGTCAGCCTGGTTCTGAAGTCAAAGGGAGATGAAATGAACTCTTAGTCATTTGGAGGGTTTTGGGGAGATAATTGGGTCTCTCTTTTAATCTAAAAAGTGGAGTTTCTTATGTTATTTATTTTAAAACCTTGGCAAAAAAAATTATAGTGATTATATACGTGGAATGAGTATTTTTAAAAGTAAGTTGAAAACCTATGAGAAGAATTGTAAGCGGTCTGAAGGGATTACATGGAGAAGTTCACATGCCTGCGTGAGTGTGTGCAGAGGCAGCTTCAGCTGTGATCCTGATAGCAAGGGTGAGGTGCAGAACCACCATGGGCCCTTTCCCTTCCAGTGTCATGTTCAGGTTGTCATGTTCAGGTTGCTCCAACGCCCACCTGTAGTTGGAAGGAAGAGCCTAGGAATGTCGACATTTGCAATCCCTCTCGTTGTACCATGTACAGGCACTCTCTTGACTTCAATGCCTAGTACTAAATAGTACAGCTACGCTGGGACACATTTTGAGCATATTAAAGTAGCAAGGTGGTATATGAATGGATTTTAAAGAATCACTGAAGGTGATTTTTAGAATAGATATCTATATAGTGATTGTGGGATTCATTTTTATGCCTATTTTACTAAAACTATTAAACATTTTTAGGAGATTCTGAACTTAAAGCTTCATTGGGACCCAAGTCACTTAGCTTAGGAGGATGGTCCTACAGATTTAGAGGATAATATGAAATCCCTTCCCCAAAGTGAATTCTAAATTTACTAATGCTCTTGACTCGTTTGTTCTTTAGAATTTTAAGGGTTTTCCTCTTCCATTTTACTACTAGAATATCATATTCTTCAAGGGCCCCTAATATTTCAGAAATAACTGTTAATTTAGTTCTGAAAGTTCATTAATTCTCCTTTTGACTTAATTAACCTTGTGCCAAGGAATAAGAAATCAAAGATAATCTGATTAGAAAACCTCCTTGCTCTTCCACTTAATCAGTTACGAATACTATATTCACATGTCTTTTAAAATTTTCTTATTTTTGCCGAAACTGGTTTGGCTCAGTGGAAAGAGCGTCGGCTTGCGGTCTGAGAGGTCCCAGGTTCGATTCCGGTCAAGGGCATGTACATTGGTTGCGGGCACATCCCCAGTAGGGGGTGTGCAGGAGGCAGCTGGTCGATGTTCTTCTCTCATCGATGTTTCTAGCTCTCTATCCCTCTCCCTTCCTCTCTGCAAAAAATCAATAAAATATTTAAAACATAATAAAATAAAATTTCTTTATTTTCCTTGTTTATCAGTTTAATGCCATAATTTAAAGATGAAGCAAAAGAAGTAAGATGTTTTATTTTTTAAATATTATATTTTTATTGATTTCAGAGAAGAAGGAAGAGGGAGATAGAGAAACATCAATGATGAGGGAGAATCATCGATCAGTTGCCTTCTGCACACCCATACTGGGGATTGAGCTGGCAACCCCAGGCATGTACCCTAATTGGGAATCGAACCTATGACTTTCTGGTTCAAAGGTCAACATTCAAACATTGAGCCACACCAGTCGGGCAAGATAATTTATTTTTAAGATTAGAGTGTGGAAAATATGTGAGAAAAATTATGGAATAATTTTTCTATCTTTATGTTTAAATTTCTAAAAACAACCAAGATTTTTTGGGAGAGTTATGAATGATGGAAGGAAAATAATCATGTTTCACTGTGGGAATTTCATTTCATTCACAGCTGGTTTCTAAGTGATGTAGAAGTGAATCAATTTGCTATAGTTATGGAGGTTGATGACAATGGCCAGTAGAGTTATCCCAGCAGCTTATCAGCTGTGCAAATTCCTGTTATGTTTAGAGAAATGCCTCTAATTTCTGTAACATGTTTTGCTTATAGAAGTGGTTTGAACTTTCAGATTTAGCTCCTAAGCTGCTTTATATCCAGTGGGTGATCCTGAGTAAGAGAAATTTCTGGAAGCATATAAATCTTCAGTTGTCTGGCATCTGGCAGCACTAAAAGCCACAGGCATGATTAATGGGAGACATTGTGCCCTGAGCCAGAAATTACCTTCTGGAACGTCAGAATGATTATTACCAAGTGTGAAAATGGAGTAAGGCTGGTTGAATGCTGTAGTCATTAGTTAGAACTAAGGGCAATAGAACACTGAAAAGGCTTTACCATGTTTAAAAGATCAGATATAGAAAAATAATTGTGTGTGTATCCTGCACTCTGAAATGTCCTGGTATTATGCATAACCGGCATGTTTTATTTCTCTGATTTCTAGTTTTGTCTCCTGGTCTGCAGTGTGTGCACATTTTTTATGATCTTGGGAAGTTACATTCCTGGGGTTATACTCAGCTACCTACTCTGTAAGTATAGCAGAACATTTGGCTAGTGTATGTGGTGCACGTGGTATCATTTAACGGTCAACAAGACCATCCATAGTTTGGAAGAGGAGGGATGAGTTCTTAATTATAAAGCAAGTTGATTGTTCTTTAATTTCATCTGTCCAAAGTTTCTCCTTTTCCTCGAAATTTGTTTATATTTTAAAATTGGAAGAATAGTTGCCAAAAGGCAGGATTATAAGTAATTAATGTTACTTTAAATTATGTCTTAAAGCTATAAATAAGTATACTCCCTACCCCCACAGACACACGAATACCTTTGCCCTTGTGCATGTTCTGTGGCTCAAAAAATAGTTAAACCACAATGAGATACCATTACACCAGAATGGCTAAAATTAAAAATGCTGATCATATCAAGCATTAGCAAGGATATGGAGCAACTGGAATTCTCACATACTGTTGGTGGGTAAGTAGAATAGTACAACCACTTTGGATAACAAGTTTGGCAGTTTCTTAAGAACTACTTTATATCCCATTTCATAGCTAGGTGTTTACCCAAGAAAAATGAAAGCATTTTTCCACAGAAAGACTCATGAATGAATGTTCATAGCAGCTTTATATGTAGTAGCCAAAAATGAAACACAATTCATATGTGACCATCAATAGATATATAGAAAAACAAATTGTGGTATGTCCATACAATGGGTTTTTATTCAGCATGAAAAACATCAATATGTGCAGCAATCTGGATAAATCTCAAAATAATTGAGTGGGAGTAGTCTGGTTTTTTTTAAAGAGTATATAATGTGTGATTTTATTTATGCACCATACAAACTAATTTTTAGTGATAAAGCTGACCAATGGTTGCCTGAGGGTGAGGTAGGAGAGGTCAGGGATAGGCAGGAGGAAAGGGTTAATAGACACATGTGGAAACTGGATGATAGTAGATATGTTCACTTTCTTAATTGTGGTGATGGTTCCTTAGTTGTATGCCTGGCTCAAAACTTATCAAATTGTACACTTTAAATATGTGTAATTTACTGTGCATCAATTATAATTTAAAAATGCTGCAAAAAATGTAAATTTCCTGCTTCTCCTGAAAAATCTGATTTAGTGATACCACACTTAGGTGGTGTGGGCATGCTCCACTTAATTCACTCTCATACTTGCCTATTTTTCTCACACCAGCTTTTAAAATTTTTACATACCACCTTGGCTGCTAGAGGTATTTGAGTTTGCATGTCCTATTTAAAAGGTAAATAGGCACATTTCCTAACAACAACAAAGAAATAAACATCAGGGAAGGCAATACAACCTTCATTTTTTTGTTTGTTTTCCCAATGCATACCACAGATGGCACATGGTCCGAGCTCAAATCCATTCTCCCAAATAGAATTCTTGTAGATTGTCTGCCTCTCATCTGCCTTGTTCAGCAGGTAGAGGAGAAGAGAGCAGAGAAGGGGAGTCTGATATGGGCCAGGCATTATTCAGATGGGTTGTATTTGATTTATTTACCCTTCTCAACAGCCCTGAAATAACATTATCACAATATGTCTGAAAAGAGGCAAGTAGATAATAATTTTCCCATGGTGCAGTTGCATTTAATAAATAAGTAGAAAATTTTTAACCCAGGACTGTTAGCTGGAAAGCATGGAATCCTTGTATAAATTTGAGGGTAAAGGATTGAAGGGAGAGAGTTGATCCGATTGTAAGTCTTTGAAAACAATGACTATAAACGTGTGTGTCAATGCGCATGCATGTAGGAATGAATGTTGTTATTTCAGGGAGAAGAATTGAAATTATATACTTATTTCACAGAAGCATTTCCCTAAGGAAAATAACAACAACATTCTGTTTGTCAGTAAGGGGAATTGAAATATTTTTGTGAAATACAAAGATGTAGCCTTTTGAAATGAAGATCATCTTACCCACACTCTCTTCCTTCTTATATTTCAGTACTGTGTGCATTTTTGTGTCCACTGTTTAAATGTAATGATATGGGACAAAAACTATACAGCAAAATCAAGTCAGTTCTGCTGAAACTAGATTTTGGAATTGGAGAATATATTAACCAGAAAAAACGCGAGAGATCTGGTAGGTAAAGTTTGACTTTCAGATTCCACACATGAAATGAGACATCAGTGGGCTATTGATTATGAAATCACCTTCCGTACATTTCAGGGTGTTTGCCTTTTACAGCATATTATTACAGAAGCTCACTCCCCTCCCCAAAGTAACATAACCTTTCCTATTTAGTTAGATTTTTATTATCTTCTGAAACATACAATAAATGGACTTTCTAATTAAATTTCAGAGAGGGAGAAAATAATTCAACCATTCCATATTTGCTATTTATGATTTACTTTCTTTAATTTGCTTTGTTTTGGGGTGAGCTATTGCAAATAAAAAATGACAGGTAGGACTAAGAATGTGGGAACCATAGAAGAGGAATCAAAAGAATGGGAAGGGAAATAAAATACATAGAGGAAAAATCAGTGTCATCAATTTTCCCTTTTTAACTTGTCCTGTGACCTTATACGTTCTCAAACTATAGCACGCATCACAACTGCCTTTTCATAAAAAGGCTTATTAAAGCAGAGATTGCTGGGCCAGCTGCTAGAGTTTCTGATTCAGTTGATCTAGGTCAGTGGTCAGCAAACTCATTAGTTAACAGAGCCAAATATCAACAGTACAATGATTGAAATTTCTTTTGAGAGCCGAAAACCAACTTCTGTGCATGGGCCTTGAAGTTTCAATCGCACTGTAGGTGCTCGCCCCCAAGTGGTATTTTGTGGAAGAACCATACTCAAGGGGCCAAAGAGCAGCATGTGGCTCGTGAGCCGCAGTTTGCTGACCACTGATCTAGGGTAAGGGCTGAGAACTTGCATTTCTAACAAGTTCCCAGTGGTGCTGATGCTGCTGGTTCAGAGACCACACTGTGAGAACGCTGATATGGACCATTCCCCTTGGAAATCAGACCTCTGCAAATAAGTGAAGCCTGTTACGTGCAAACACTTAATTCCGTAGAAGCGTTGGAGAAAATGAGGAATGTGAGTAAGGAAATGTATTGGATAAAATACATCTATGTCTAAGCTGGCCAGGAAACTGAAAGCTCCCTAATTTTTTCTCAACAGAAGCAGACAAAGAAAAAAGTCACAAAGATGACAGTGAATTAGACTTTTCAGCTCTTTGTCCTAAGGTATTTTTTTTTGTTTAGTTTTTCCATTTGTTCCTATGTAGTTTGACTGTAAATTGATTTAAAGCCAGAATGATTTTCCCAATCGATTCCTCCTATTTCTCTAAGATGATTGAACAATTATGAAAGGAAAAATACTCACCTGGTTTTTATTAGTCTGACATTTTTGGTGGTAGTATGGAGTTTTCAAAAGATTTGCCACAGAAGTTTAGAATGTGCCACTGGTATTTATATTAACACAGATTAGCCTCACGGTGGCTGCCAAAGAGTTGTCTGTGTCCGACACAGACGTCTCCGAGGTCTCCTGGACTGACAATGGGACCTTCAACCTTTCAGAAGGATACACTCCACAGACAGACACTTCTGACGGTATGCTCACATTTCTCTCTCTCTTTTTTGTTTTTCTGAGTGCATGCAGAAATATTTAACTCTGTCTACTGCTGAATGGCTAACCAAAATAGGGTATATACCCTGTTTCCCCGAAAATAAGACAGTGTCTTATATTAATTTTTTCTCCCAAAATTGCGCTAGGTCTTATTTTCAGGGGATGTCTTATCTTTCCATGCGCAAGGTCTTATTTTCGGAGGATGTCTTATTTTCGGGGAAACATGGTATCTATACAATGGCCTGTCATGTGGCTATCGAAATGAAGTATTAATACTTGCTACAACATGGATGAATCGTGAACACTTTAGGCAAAATGAAAGAAGCCAGACTCACAAGGCTAGATATATTGAATAAATCCATTTATGTGACAAAGCCATATAAATGGATAGTAGATATGTGGCTAATACAGGGCCTGGGGAAGAGGGAATGGTGAGTGGAATCATATGGATTTCTTTCTTCTTGTGTTTTTTTTTTGTATGAGTTTCTTTTGGGATTCATGAAAATGTTTTAGCATTAGATAGTGGTGATGGTTGTACAGCTTTGTGAATATATTAAAAACCACTGAGTTGTACACTTTAAAGGGTAATTTGGTAATATCTGAATTATATGTCAAAAGCTAATATTTTTTGAGTATGAGAAACAAATCTAAAGCCAGTATTCAAAATCTGCTTTTATTTAGAAAACATATAAATATTGACAGTGAACAAAATGAACTTCTCCAATGTCTGGTGACCTTGTTCATAGTGGTAATGGGAGGAGGGGAAGAGAAAAACCAATCCCACATATCTGAGGCTAGCCTCATTCACAGGGACTGAGCATTTGGAGGCCAAGTCCCCCAAATCCAAAGCTGACTCCAAGGTTACTCTTCAAAGTCAGTTTTAAAATAAACAACAACATTTGCTTTCAAATGTACCAAATTTTACAAGTGTTCCTACATGTATTCAGGACACTGTTTTGGTTAAAATGGTATGAACTGTTTTGAAAATACATTTTTTTCATTGATTTTTTTAGAGATAGAGGAAGGGAGAGGGAGAGAGAAACATCTGTGAGAGAGTGAAACATGGATCAGCAGCCTCCTGCACGCCCCCCCTATCAGGGATCAAGCCTGCAGCTATTTTTTATGTAAAGCCACATGTTTCCATATGCTTTGAGGTGGAATGTGGAATAGAAGGAGCAATAGCTTCTTCTGATTAATTGATTTAAAACAAACACAGACTACAGATACTCTGATCTTCCTGGATGAAAATGCTGAGGTTGGGTAATATTCCCCATCTGCTATACCAGATACCATGCAAACTCCAATTGAAGTTTTTCTTATTCTGTGATCATACATGTCCACAATGGCTTACGCTAATTTCCTCCCCAGGGGCAGGATGAAATATTTGGTTATGGTGAACATTTAAATTTAAATTTTAGTCAAAGCCTCAAGCTAATGTTAGGTCGAATAGTGATTATGTCCACTGCTTTGTGCTTATGAGGCAAGTTAAAGACATGGGGGGGGATGTGTAGTATTTGTGTGGTTATGGAGAGATGGTGCCCCAGATTTGGGAGGGGTCCGATATGTGTAGTTAAGTTTACTTAAACTGAACCAGGTGGCTAGATGAAGGCCAAGGTTGCCCAGAGGGTTCAGATTAAAATCAGTATCTTTTAGACAGCTCTCTCATTTCAGATTTATCATGGTGCTTAAGCATGAACTTCTGTTGTACCTTTCGCAGATCTTGACCGACCTGGTGAGGAAGTTTTCTCTCGAGGCCTTTCAGATTTTCCATCTCTAGAAAATGGCATGGGAACAAACGATGAAGATGAATTAAGCCTCGGCTTGCCCGCAGAGCTCAAGGGAAAAAAGGAGCAGTTGGACAGTGGTCTCAGACCCAGCAAAGAGAGGCCATCATCCACTGGTCTCACCCTTCCTCTGAGCAGTGACCAAACCTTTCACCTGATGAGCAACCTGGCTGGGGACGTCATCACAGCTGCAGTGACTGCTGCCATCAAAGACCAGTTAGAGGGCGCGCAGCAAGCCCTTTCTCAGGCGGCACCCAGCCCGGGAGAGGACACAGACACTGAAGAAGGTGATGACTTTGAACTCCTTGACCAGTCAGAGCTCGATCAAATTGAGAGTGAATTGGGACTTTCACAAGACCAGGAAGCAGAGGCACAGCAAACTAAGAAGTCTTCGGGCTTCCTTTCAAATCTACTCGGAGGCCATTAGTCTGGAATCGGCTTTATGACAGAGCACAGATAACTACCAAAAAATTTCAAACAAGCAAAAAACAAAACAAAAAAAAAAGGAAAAAAATGTTTTTGAACTGTGAGCTTTACTCATTGCTTTAGATTATTTTGTCTTATTTTCTCTTCTGCAGTGAATTAATTGGATATATATCAGCTGATACTGATAGATAGACTTATCTGATAGTTATTTTTATGTAATAAGCATGGAAATGAAAAAAAAATATGTATATACAATTGACCCTTGAACAAATGGGTTTGAACTGTGCAGGATTATGTCAATAAATACTATAAATGTATTTTCTCTTCCTTATGATTTTCTTAGATATTTTGTTTCTCTAGCCGACTTTCTTGTAAGAATACAGTATATAATACATAAACAAGACATGTTAATCAACTGTTTGTGCTATCAGTAAGGCATCTGATCAGTGGTAGGCTATTAGTAGTTACATTTTGGGGCGAGTCAAAGATATACACAGATTTTTGACTGCGCAGTGGGTCGGTGCCCCTAACGCCTGCATTGTTCAAGGGTCAACTTGATGTGTATGTATATGTATGCGTGTATGTGTGTACACATACATATATATACACACACATATACATACATACTGTGTTTTCAGACATGAATATTTGGGGTTATTTTTAGAGCAAAAAGAAAACATGAAATTATTGAGATACTTCCATAAGTACTCCTTACTTTTTCTTGCAATTTTCTCTGCAATTAATTTTTCAAGCATGCAAGAACAGTTTATTGTAATTCACTGAAACATTAATAACTAATTGGGAATACATGTTATATCAGCCCCCTTTGTTCCTAACATTGGGAAACATAAATATTTTTGGTGGGTTTTGTTGTAAAAAGATAAAAATTGTCGAGGCATCTTTAATTGAAGATTTGAAAGAAAATATCAGAATTAATTTCCTAGGAAAAAATCTTAAAATTATTTAATTCCTTTGGATAGGCTGGTACATTTCCATTGTTATTTCTGCAGTTGTAGATTTAGGCTTACTTAAAAATGGCATGCTCCATTGACTGTCAGCTCTAGTCCCGCAATGGGTGGTATTAACCCATAGAAAGCAAGTAATTATAGATCAAGTATACCGCTGTAAACAGATATTGGGCTATGTTTTGTGGTTCAATTATCATATATTTGTAATAGAGATATCATGAGTGCAGAGCTATTTTGCCTGCTCAGATCAAGGTTAAGCCCTCATCTTTGATATTGTGTCATGGGGAAAAAACCTTCTCTCAAAATCATGAAACTAGTTCCTGGTCTGTTCTGTGAGTGATGTGGTCATAAGCAGTAGAGAAAAATAACTGTTTTTATAGTCTGCATAAATTCTCCTACAGGAGAAAAACTTGCTTGGCTTTAATATGTATTTATTTGCCAATGAAGTCTAAATATTTAATGTTTCTCACTTGGAAGCTAGAATATGTTTTTCCATTATTTTAAACTTTTTAAAATCAAATTTGTTGGAGGTTTTTAAGAAAGGACTAAAGAACAGAAATCAAGCTAATTGTGTTTTTTCGATGTAGCATTTAATAGTGTTGAGAGACCATGCCAGCAATACCAACAGTCCCTTCAATCTTCAGTACTGCTGGCATTGCCACAAATGCACACAGACATCTGAGACCCTCAGAAAGGAAGGATAATCCAAGAATATAGGAAATCTGTGCTCTACACCCCTTCATTTGATTTTCTAAAGGATAGGCTAATCATAAGTAATCTGACATTTTAATATAGCAGCTCTTATTTATTTTTTTCCTTCTGAGATATTAAAATATCTAGACTGAATTTTGCCAAATGTGTAAGGGAGAGAAATTACTGAAGACTTTGAACACCTGCTTTTTGTGAGTGACTCTGCTTATATGTCATTAGTGCCTCATGACTGTGTTTGATGTCCTTTATTGATACACAGTGAGCCTGTGCCTTCATTATCTTGCCCATTTTGGTACAAATGAAAACTTGGTGTTAGATCTATGAACTGTGTGTGTGTGGGAGAAATATACCTGAATTCTATTCAATAAGAGTTTCTAGACATGAAGAAAAATACAGTCACATATTTCCAGTGGCAACTAGGATTCACCCCCTCCCCCCCCCCTTTTTTTTTTTAACATGTATGTTTCTTCATTTAAAAAATATTTTTGGCCATAAAGTCAAAAAGATTGAAAGTCATTTCAATTTCTTCATTGAGGGGGAAATAAGAAGTTAAATAATCCAAATAATTAAAGAATGTGTTACAATTCAGTGGACAAGCTTACACAAGAAGATAAACTCAGAGTTTATGGTATGAACAATGCACTAGAATCAAATGTTGTTAACTTAAATCAAAAGGGTCTTTGGGACGGGGAGGGAATGAGGACAAGGGAGAGTAGAAAAAGGTGTTACCAGCACTATGGAGAAGAAATGTCAGCTCTCTATCGGCAGTGGCTTTCTCACCTCATATCTTCACTGTCTGCCTATGAACCTGGCACTTCAATGTGATTTGTTCGAGAATATGATCACAAATTTACACATACAATAATGGTACTCTTAATTCAAACTAACAGAGGGGTTTTGTTTTGTGTGTGTCTATGATTTTTTTGTTTGTTTGTCTTTTGGTGGGGGAACATTATATATAAGCTTGTTTCTGATTTTAAGATATAGTAACAGTAAACCCTGTGGCTGATCTGGTAAAGGGGGCGGGGGGGGGGGGCACACTCTATATCCCTTACCATCAGGATTGATGCAGTCATTAAAATCTGAAGCATGGATTTATTTTTTAATTATAGAAGAGTTGTAGAAAAATGTTTTGCTCATTTCCAGTAGAAAATGTTGAGCAAAACAATGAAAATAATATATATTGATCATGCATATTGATCTGAAACAACAAAGCAGAGTCCAAGAAGGTCAAGTTTGCTTTGGAAGGTCAACCCAGGGTTAAAGTAGTGTTTATATTCTCATTCTGAAACATCTTTGCTTTTTCCTACCCTAAAAATCTTCAAAAGTGAATTTTAAAAAAAATTGCCCCTCTCCAGCTTAGTAGTCTTTTAAGAAAAGAAACTTGTATAAGATTTTGCAATTGGAAAACATCCTCAACAGCTTTAGGCATCTCCCTCCAATATTTGAAATAAGAGCAACTTTCCTTTAAATATTGTAAGTGGCAAATGCCAACATACTTCTGATTTTAGGTCAGAGGCAAGTCTACATTTAAGAAAAATATAATTTAGTTGATGTAGAGTTTACACTGCTCCAGCTATATTGGTTATAAGGTAGAAATTATTCTGAAAAAAGTTAAACTGTTGTCATAGGTCATTTGTGATCATGATGGAATTAAAAAATCCCTGAACTATTTTTGTATGCATTGTTCCTCCATTTCCACCAAAGCATTTCAGCTGGGATGGAATGTCAGAAGTAGGCCTTTGGTTCTGATGTTAAAATTATGGTCCTAATTCACAATGTCAAAGTCACATAACATCCTAAGACCACCACCTCAATTTCCCCAACATAAATTAGGAAACTAATTTTTATTTTCTCATAGGGATGATTTGAGAATGAATGGGAGAGGAAAAAAGCATTTGAAACACTTTCAGGGGATAAAAAAGCTGTATAAAACCAAGATAGTGATTCCCTCTCCCCGCCTCCCCCCCTAGCCTGTGTTTCAACTAAACCATCTTTTTAAATAAGAAAACAGTCAATAAGTACCTGCTTATAAGAAAACTCTGTTTCTTTCAATGGGCCTACCACTTTATTGGCCTCATAACCCAATAAATGCTGTGAAATAAAGGATGAAAAGTTTTGCAAAAATGTATTATTTCAGCTGACTCTGGACTATGTGTGAGATTCTTCACTAATCATTTTTAATGGTTCTGACACTTACTGGCTGTGGGACTCTAGTCACCTAATAACTCTGTACTTGTTCCCTTTATCTATAAAATTAACATATAACACCCCCCCCCTAATATGATATGAGGATAAAGTGTCTAAGACTGGGGTTGGAAAACTATGGCCTGTGGGCCAAAGCTGGCCTGCAACCTTTTTGTATGGAATACCAGCTAAGGCATTTTTAAAAAACATTTTTAAATAGAATATTTTATGACTTGAAAAATATGAAATTCAAAATTCACCATTCATAAATTAAGTTTTATTAGAACATGCCACACTCATTCCTATACTGCTAATGGCGGCATTCATGCTTTCACAGAAAAGTTGAATAGTTGTGACAGAGCACATAAGGCTACAAAGCCTAAAATATTTACTATCTGGCCCTTTATAGGAAAAGTTTGCCAACCCTTGACCTAATACACAGAAAACAATGACACTTGGGATTGTGTGTAATTTCTGTGACTACCATTAAGAGTTTGTTTTTTGTTTTTTTCAGAAGAACAGGGTTAGATAAGTTGCTCAGTTACACAGCACATGCTTGCGTATAACTGGGGCACACAGCTCCTAGCCTGTGGCCCCTTGAACTGTGAGGATGGGGTGGGAGAAATTGTTTACTGAAAATCACAATACTTAACATTTTTTCTTATGACCACAGAATTTATAGAAATTGTAAACCACTTATTAAATGTTTTGTTTTCTATATTTGTTACCCCTGATAGGTAACTTCAACCAACCCTAACTCCTTTACAGTTTTCCTATTGAAACCCTGCAGTATAGGAATGTGAAAAGTAGTAAACTGAAACTAGCAAATATTGTGATCACTACTATATAAATTGACTTGAAGGTGACCTTATTTTTTTAATTACTGAAAATCAACATTACAACAACTAGCCTAGAAAGGAACCACTTGTCATGGTGCTGCCAAAGTTACAGTGTGCACCAGAACACCAGCACCTCGGTCATTGAGTGAACTAACTCAGGGTCTATGTCACAGTATCCAGGACTTTTCAATATTTACAAGTCTAAAAAAAAATTTTTTTTTGTCATAGGCGGGCTCAGTTTAAATTCTTCAGTAGGATGATTAATTGGTAATGCACCTTTTAAATAATTTGTCAGCAGAGATTAGAAACATTAACATAGTACCTGGAAAATTTAACTCAAAGGTCTTTTAGGCTTGCATTTACCGCAGAGCTATAGGCTGCAGACCTGCTCTTTTCTGGTATTTTTCTAGTCAATTCTAGCTTTTGCTGCTGGATCTACTGAAGGCCCAGTTCTATTCCTGATGCCCAAATAAACTGAGATACTTTTGCCTCCCTGCTGTTTACCAATGAAAAATAAGCAAAAATTTCTATAGATTTCAACACTTTACCCAATGATAACTTTGTATTCTCTAGTCTTATTTTCCCTTCTTTCACTGTATCCAATGCTTCACCTAAACATGACATATTCTAAATATGTCATTTATTTTCCTTCTTCCACAGTTTTTCTTCTTTTTCTACTTGCAGATGAAGTCCTCAATATTTATACTTGCAGATCAAGTCCCCTCTTTCAGTACCCATCTGGAATGGGTCAACTCCTTAATGAAAACTCATCTGTTCTCCCTAATGGATGAACTTTCTCTATTGTAACGACCCCATTGCCTCTTTATATTTCATTGTGCATGACCCCATCATTATGGTATTAGTTAATTGTGTACCATTCATAACAAATCCCAAAATGAAAGTAGGGCTGTCTTCTTTTAGAACTAGATGAGTAGCATAAAGGATAGGTGATGTGATTTATAATAAAAAATATACATGCCTAGCCCAGAGCTCCTAAAACCTTTGGAATTTCCAAAATGAAGAGAGCTATATAGGTGTCTTTTGTTATGTTAATGAGGCAACTTTTGGAAAGCATCTAGGTATTCTAGCCAAGAGTGTAGGGCACCCCAAACTCCACAGGGATAAAATCTTCTATGTTTAGAACCCTTCCAGACATGGCTCATGTATCTCTTCATCTGGCTGTCCATTTGTATCCTTTACTGTCCTTTGTAATAAACTGGTAACCTAGTAAGTAAACTGGCTTCCTGAGTTCTGTGAACTGTTCTAACAAATTAATCAAACCTGAGAAGGGGGGCATGGGGAGCCGTGGGGTATGGTGGTATCTCCAAGTAGAGAGTGACCAGAGTGAGTTGAGATATAGGACACTCAGTTGGTGTTGGAGAATTGCTTGGTGGTATGGGGTGGGGGGAGAAACCAAACAAACAGTGGAGACAGGTAGAATGGGAGAAAGGTTATGAAAACCAGGCAAAGTAATTTTCATTTCTGCCTAAGGGCAACAAATAACCATGCTTGAACAGAGGAATGACATAAAAGGAACAATGGTTTAGGAAAATCTGACTTAATTTTGCACTTTAAAAAAATTCTTTTGAAAATACTGAACAGTCTCTGTATAGCTCTAGCACGACTGTAGTGTACAGCAATGAAAGGTGTCCCTGTCTCAACAGAGCTTACAGGCTAGTGTGGGTGATGTAACTACTAGTATGATGCCATCCTGGTTTGCCCAGGTGGAGGGGTGTCCTGGGATACTAGACTTTCAACGCTAAAACTGGGAAACAGTCAAACAGCAAGTGCCAGTGGTAGCCAATTTCCCAAAATGGTCCCCAAAATACCCCACTCCTGCCCTGTAGACCCCTCCACATTAAATAAGGTCAATCTTTGTAAGTACAGTCATGTACACAATAAACACGTTTTGGCCAATGATGGACCACAGTTATGAGGGTGGTCCCATAAGATTATAATAGAGCTAAAAAATTCCTATCACCTAGTGACACACAACACATTACTCACATATTTGTGGTGACGCTGATGCAAACCTGCCAGTCATATAAAAAGTACATACAGTACGTACTTGTTATAATAAAAGCCTATGCCACTGGTTTTTGTGTTTACTTTTTATTGGTGTGTACTCTAATTATAAAAAAAAAGTTTGCTGTGAAACAGTATGCTGTGTTCTGCCAGCAGCAGCCTCATAAATCTCCTGTTGACTACATTTGGGTTGTATCATTTTTTTCTTTAAAATTTTTCTCTCCTTTAATTTTTTTAAAGTGCAGAATTGTCAGATTTTCCTAAACCATTGTTCCTTTTATGTCATTCCTCTGTTCAAGCATGGTTATTTATTGCCTTAGGCAGAAATGAAAATTACTTTGCCTGGTTTTCTTATGAAAATTACTTTGCCTGGTTTTCTCCCATTCTATCTGTCTCCACTGTTTGTTTGTTTTTTTTCCATACCACCAATTCTCCAACACCAACTGAGTGTCCTATATCTCAACTCACTCTGGTCTCTCTCTACTTTTTCTCTTGTACTTTATTTAATCTCGTGTTTTGTACAGAAACCTGCTGTACAGGCTTGTAAAGTGGAAGCAACAGGTTACACCACACAGTCTAGGTATGTAATAGGCCATACCATCTAGATTTGTGTAAGTGCGTGCACTCTATGATGCTCACATAACAAAACTGCCTAACTTGTATTTTTCAGAGCTTTCCCCCATCACTAAACAGCACACGACAGCGACAGCACATTGTGGAAACTGAGTGACTTCCCAGACCAGGTCGTAAAACATTATGGCTTCCACTTTGCTCTCTTTGGAGGAAGCCAATTGCCATGTTATGAGAACACCCAACTCTGTGAGGAACCCAAACCTCTTGCTATCAGCCTGTAAACAAGCCATTTTTTCAAGGTGTCCTTCAGCCACAGTGAAACCTTCACATGACTTCAGCCCTGGCCCACATGTTCATTATAATTTTGCAACACCCTAAGCCACCTACATTCCTGATTTACAGAAACTCAGTTAATCAAAGTTTATTGTTTTAGGCTGCTAAGATTTTGGGTAATTTCATAGAGTAATAAATAATACAGTGTTATAGAGAAAAGTTATGCTTGAGAGTTGGGGGTAAGAACTATCTATACTAATAATGGCCTAGGTGGTTGTCACACCCTCATGCTGTGATGCCCTCATGCCGTCACAATCCCACAATCCATCACCAGAAGACTGAGTATCCAGCAGGTGCACACAGGTGGGCTGGGACTGGAAGCTGCGTGTGCACCACAGCAGTGGGACACAACAAGGTTTGGGGGTCCTGTGGCCCCATACAGCATGGAGGTGGGACCCCCAGCCCCCACCTACCTCTTTGGGGCAATCCACCAAGGAGCTCCAAATGGGTGGGCAGGGACTATCACTTTGGGGTGATCTATCACGGGGCTCCTGCACTGTGAGAGGGCATAGGCCAGGCTGGGGACCTCCCGCCTACCCCCTACCCCAAGTGCACGAATTTCATGCACTGGGCCTCTAGTATTTGATAAAAGGGTTTGGATAGACCTCTCTTGTAAAGGTATTTGGGCAGAAACCTTGAAGGAAGTAATCTAGTAAAAGAATGTTCCAAGCAGAACTTAAAGGATTTCTAAGACTTAGTACCAACAAAAGATGTTGGCTTAGTCTAGTTAGAAGAACAGCACAGTTTCAGTATGACTGAAGAGAAGTGAGCTGAGTGGGAAAGGCGGTGTGGCAGGAGGTCAGAGGTAGGGGGGTCAGGGTGGTGGCAGATCATATAGGACTTCCTAGAACAAAAAGTAGCTTAGTCTGTTCAAGCTGCCATAACAAAATGCCATAGGCTGGGTGCCTTGTAAACAACTAATTTATTTCTCACAGTTCTGGAAGCTGGAAGCCCATGATCAGGGTGGCAGCATGGTCTGGTAAGGGACCTCTTCCTTGTCACAGATTCTTACTGTATCCTCTCCTGGATATCTTTGAAAAAACACTAACCCTATCATGAGGGCAGAGCCTACTCACCTCCTGAACCCCCCCCCCCATCCCCCCACATCACCAGCTTGGACATTAGGTTTCCTTTTGACATATGAATTTGGGGAGGGGGGTGGGGCACAAA